GTCGTCCAAAATGGGGAAGTGGCGCGGATCGCTGACGTGGACATGCGCGGGCACTTCACCGTTAATCACAAAAGCGTGATAGCCCGCGTTGTCCACGTCATCGATCCTTGTCGTCCGCGCGCTTCACTGTCACCGTCAGATGCGGTGAGGCGCGGATTCTGGTTTTTCTCCCAGATCCGACACCTCAAACCAAGCCACGTCAGCGATCCGTGCATTTCGCCGCCCTCGAGAATCGCGGGGAATGCTTCACCGTCGTGGACCTGAGCGGGGAATGCTCTGTGGTCCTCCATATAAATTCCACCCCATCCCCCCTCATTCCAACCCACACCACCACTTTTATACTTCTTTCTCCCTCCATTACTTCCCTCTAGTCTCGTTCTAAGTATGCTCTGTGGTAGCGGCTAAGTATGATCTTCCACATCAGAAAGAATTACTAGAGTTTTTATTTTGTTTTAAATCCTTTGCTATAAAGTTTCGTCGATACTCTCTCCAGCTTTTCGGTAAAAAATGTACGAAGAGGCTCTGAGAGTACGATTTTTTTTTCACCTTTGTTGATGTTTTTAAATGGGTTTGAAATATTCTAATTTCATTTCATATTTGTTTATACATGGGTGCTGAGATATACGACCCTCATTTGTATATCGATCATGGCCCAAGGGATCGCAAATATTTAAACGAGCAAGAACAACATCGCTCCCGTACAATTTGGGGCAATAATCCGGTAGACACTCTGTCTGTACCGTATAAAATTTTAAATTATTTCAATAGGTTAAAAGTTTTTGTTTATTTTTTTTTCTAACAACATTGTATTTTTTTTGTTTTGTAGGAATCACTTATTCCCATCAGTCATCGAGGGACATGTCGATTGCTTAATTGGCATCCTCGTCTCGAGCCCTATCTAGAGAGGACGGGATTGCACATGCTGAGGCATTTCATGCGGCTTGATATCGACAACGATCTGCTTACGGCAATGGCAGAGCGATGGCGCCCCGAAGTGCATACCTTCCACTTTCCCGAGGGGGAAATGACGATCACCCTCAGAGATGTTGCCCTACTCACCGGGCTGCCGGTCACTGGAGAGGCCATCATCGGCAACTCAAGTAAACCCGAAGGTGGTTGGGGGCCATTGATTCTCGAGCGTTTGGGGTTCAACATGCCGACCACAACGCCCGTTCAAGGGGTTGGGCATCCACCGCTCAATGCAGGGCAAGTTTCAATCCCGTGGCTTGTTGAACACATCCAACAGGAAGTGAATTTAGGGCCAAACACCCCCGAAGATGAGGTGGAGCGATATGCACGCGTCTACCTCATCTTCTGCTCGTATTTCTTTGATTGATGTGCAACCGCTTCAAGACCACAGAATAAATAATTAAGACATGAGAAATTTCATATGAAAAGTAAACCATGAACAAGCACATAATTACATTAGTACCTGCACTCCACAATTGATCTCTTATGTCTTTCTTCTTCCCAAACTTGTGCTGGAAATTTGCAAGAAAGTGTCGAATACACCAGCGCCATGTCCATCCCCATTCATCGGGAAAACCATTCACGGCATGCTTAATCCCGGCATGTCGATTAGATATAATTGTAATACCCATTCTTTGTGTGACGTGGTGGTGTAGCATGTCAAAGAACCATGCCCAACTTAAGTTGTTCTCCCCTCAACTAATGCAAACGCCAGGGGGAAAATACTTAAATTTCCATCAACGCTAGTGGCGATGAGAAGAGTTCCTTTATACTTCCCAGTAAGAAATGTTCCATCAACCTGTTAAAATTATTTATAGTTAGTATAAATATTACTTAGTAAAAAAAAAAAAAAGAAACACAACAACAATGTTTAGACCGTAATATACCTGGATAACTGGCATGCAGAAAGCAAAACCATCAATGCATGGATTGAAGGTCCATAACAGACGATGAAACATCAACTCGTTCTATACTCGAACTTGATTCTCAGTGTTTACATTGTTTTAACAGGGCACGAAAACAGTCCCAGGGTTGGACTCCTCCATTGCGGCCATTAATCTAGGGAGTAAAGCATACGAGTCGTCCCAATCACCATATACCTCAGCCATGGCCTTCTGCTTCCCATGCCACGCCTTCTTATACTTGATCGTGTAGGAGTGTCGATCCTTCACCTCGGCCATGATAGCTTTGATTTTAATATCTAGTTATGCCTCGATCAAGTGCTTAATGGTTCTTGCCACTCTATTTGCTTTCAGTTGCCGGTGATCCTGGGACAGTATGTTTGAGGAGCAGATGTGGTTGTTCTCTGTTGTCCGAATGACCCAGGCACCCTTTCTCTTCATATTTGCAGCCCGCAGTTGCCACAAACAACCCTCTCCAATATTTTTGCAAATGACATGTAGTTGTTTGGTGTCAGAATATTTTACCTTCCATTCGAAATTGCGCCGCATGGCTTCTTCGATAAAAGCATCTTGAACATCGACTTTCAAAGTGAACGCCATCCCCACCTCCAAATTTGCAGTCGGATTATACACATGCATAGGCCGAAAGTCAGGGGGATCGTTCTGACTATATAAAAATTGAGATGGAACCTCTGTGTAGTAAGGCGTTGGTGCCTCACGGAACGCCACCTCTCTCTCCTCGATATCGTCTGTATCTTCATCCTCACTGAGTGATCTCAAATCTTCCTCACTTTCCTCGTCGCTAGAGGCGAATGGATAGCTCGGCTCAGTAGGATCATCGTTACCAACATAACCAACCTCATATCAGTCATGTGAAGTACACCCAGACTGAAGGTGGTTCTCAATGTCAGCCAACTCTGGCCCCCAAGCAGACCATTGATCACCGTCGGGCTCAACAAATGGGGCAGTCTTAGCATTTTGCGGGTATTCTTCCCACCCAACACCTCCTGCATAATTACCTCCTCCGTAGTTTATTGGACCTCCACCCCAGTCGTAGCCTCCTGCAGAACTACCTCCTCCAATGTTGCTTGAACTACCATCCCAGCCATACCCTCCTGCAAAACCATAATCACAAGAATATTGGTGAAAATGAGTTTCACCGACTGGTGATAATAGGCTTTAATATATCGGATTCTTGAATTTTATGTGACTATCCCATGATATGTTTAAGCCGATTGATGCTATTTTAGGGCTCGCTAACCCGAGAATGGTTGAAAAATCATTACTGCCTAGTGCCATGAGTTTGATGTATTACAGGTGAATAAAGCACGAAAAAGGATATTGGGTCGAGCTTCCCTGGGGACCGAATAATTGGAGCAGGCTGCAGGGAGTTGAACGGCAGCAGTGTTTTTGGGCTTGAATTGGCCCATTGAATTAAATGCCTCGTGTCCATTTAATTCAGTGCGCCAATCCAAGCCCAAAAACACGGCTGCCGTTCAACTCCCTGCAGCCTGCTCCAATTATTCGGTCCCCAGGGAAGCTCGACCCAATCTCCTTTTTCGTGCTTTATTCACCTGTAATACATCAAACTCATGGCACTAGGCAGTAATGTTTTTTCAACCATTCTCAGGTTAGCGAGCCCTAAAATAGCATCAATCGGCTTAAACATATCATGTGATAGTCACATAAAATTCAAGAATCCAATATATTAAAGCCGATTATCAACCGGCTCGGTCTCGACATACACTTCTGCAAGCCGCGTCTCGTTGTCAGATAGGAACTGTATCATCAAGTTCACCGCGTCATCATCATTTATGACAACTTCTTCGTACATAACTCCGCCAGCACTCATGTTTGGATACCGGTAAGTAATTTGACCAACTCTCCTTTGCCCATCCATACAAGTCCTTTCTGCACAAATGTCAAGTAGTTCTTGACACGTGAATCTCGACTCAATTTTTAGCATAGTGGATTCGCCATTTTCATATTCGATCCCAAAGTCTGAGTTTGTCACCCGACCATTCCACCGAATAATAAGCTGAAACTTCTTAAATTTACCCATGTCTGCAAATTACAATATGGAACTATTAGCTTAACTCGAATAAGATTATTGTAGTATAATTAGTACATTAGGGATACAAAAATAATATCATCCAAACCCATTAACAACCGCAACTAACTGGTCTATCATGAGAAAACTATCCAAATTCATCTAAATTCATAACTAACTAACATAAATCATACCGTAATTCATCTAAATATCTCTAACATAACATATTTGCCAATAACCGAAATTCACTAAATACAGACATATAATTACTAATACAGCAACATGTAAGCAATACATAATTATAACATACCGAATCCCGGTGAGTTTCTTGTTGTTGTAAGCCAACTGAGAAAAGGACCAAAAAGGCACTAATTCCGTACTGAATTGCTGTAAGGCAACAGGAGAAATCTGAGGGCTGGGTTTTTATAGGAATTTTTGAGGCCTAATCACCGCGCCTGACAATAGCAGTGAACCATCACCGCTTTTGACCAAGACGGTGAATGCTAGGTCGCTGTTACCTAAATTCCAACCTACCAGGGTTGTAAAACGTGGGGAAAATCCCTGTTTTGGATGACAGCGGTGAAGGGTTCACCAACGGTGAAGGGTTCACCGTTTTTTACCAAAACGGTAAAGGGTTCACCGTTTTTGTCAACAGCGGTGATGCAATTCACTACCTTGGTCCGCAGCGGTGATGCCCAAACTGCTGTATTTTGGGAAATATTTTCATAAGTACTGTATTTTGGGAATTTTTTTACTATCTAGTGTATTCAGGGATTTTTTCCGAATTTCTGCCACAATCACAGTGGCGGCCGGCACCACCATCTCCGCTCCACAGCTACAATCACTGGAGAGCTATGGTAATATGAATTCCTATTTGCTTAGAAAGACGAGAGATGTCGAATCTACCCACATCTCTCTCTGAAATTTGCCTCACCTTATTCCGCTTAGCCATGTTCATGACCGACCCTTGGCCCTTCTCCTGAACCGATTCTATTTCTGCGTGTCTCCAGCTCTCAAACCTCACCTGTCCTTAAAGTTAATTTGCACCCCGCTCTCCTTTTTCCCGGCTTTCTCCAATCATGAGGAAGATGAGGGGATTCAAGTTGGGGAAGCGGTTTTTCCGGGTTGCGAATTGGATCTTCGGCAATAGGCGGAGAAATCGTTCTCCCTACGGGCGGCTGATCTCGGAAGATGGCAGGTCGAAGCCGATTAACAAGCTCGTCCACTGGGGTCGCCGATTGACCACCGGAGCCAAATCGCTTTGTTTGGCAAAATTCGGTTACCTGCGGGTGGAGCATGAGGCGTTGTGTGGGAAAGCAGCGGCGGTGCCGAAGGGGCATCTGGCATTCTTTGTGGGGGGGGGGGGGGAAGGACGGCAGCGACTGTCACAGAGTGTTGGTGCCAGTGATTTACGTGAACCACCCTCTGTTCGGCAATCTGCTGAGGGACACGAAGGAATAGTACGGGTTCGACCAGGAAGGCGGGATCACGATTCCTTGCCCTTCGCCGAGTTTGAACAGCCAGGACCCGGATTGATGCCGTTTTCGGCGCTGGCCGGCGGCAGCCCAAGTTGCACAGGTTGAAACGGAGCCGCTAATTAACGATGTAAGGTACGAAGATGACCACGACGAAGAAGATATTGCTATAATTATTGTGATTGTAATTTATTTTTCAATATATATTCCTACACGATAATGATGTTATGTAAAACTAAACCAGTGTTCCACGATTAGATTTTGCTCACTTCATATTTTCTCTTCTCCTGCCAGACTTTTCACTAATGGGATGCGTTTGAAATCAGTTGCAGAAAAGACGAAAGAGAGATTAAAGGAACGAATCGGAACAGAAATTGAATTTTAACTTTTCACGAAAATGAAAAAGAATGAAATTTGAAGAAGAAAGAAGCTCCACAAGACCCCGTTAATTCCGCTGCTTAGCCCCACCAGGATGATATCAATGGTGGATCATATCAGTAATAGTTTATTAGCGATGGCGTGTTGATTAGATTAGTATAGGCCTTTCGTTAGACATTATCATCATTCACCGCCCAATTGGCTTTTCGGTTTATTTTTCTTTTATTTCATTTCACAAAGTGGCTTTTCCTTTGACGGGGACAAAAGAACCAACTCAAACTATATCAGAATTCTTGAAAAATCTACTATGGGCCCCCACCTTATGGCTAGTTGTGAACAAATTCACTCATCACCCGATCCAACCGTGCTACCCAAATCAACCCACCTAATTACACATAAAAGAAATTCCGCCAACCTGCCGATGAGAAGGGTTACTACAAGTGGTGTCATGAGATATGTAATTAAACTTGGTTGATCATTGGGGCTGGTTTTGGGTTCGATTCTATCCAGCCAGAGAAAATTAAACCCAATCCAAGATAAATGGTTTCATCTTTCACATACAATATTCATATCTATAGCTGATTTTTCTACTTTAAGATTTGTCTCTCTCTTACTCTAATCATCCAGACCTCCCCTTCCATTACGGTCATCCCTAATGGGATTTTCAAATAGATCATTTTAATCGGCAGTATTCAGATGATTTAATTTGGTTAATTTGTATTATTTATTTTTTCCCTATACGTACGTTATTGAACTTGTGTCTAATTAAAGAATAAAACATTAGAGCTCTAGTTAGTTGGTTCATTGTAGTGGTGAGCAATGGACGAGTTGAGTAGATTTATTCTCAAATTGACCCACTGATTCAGCTACTACTACACCATGGATTAAAACCCCAACTAGAGCCCAAGTATAAACTATAGTCGGGTGCAGTGTAGAGCAAGTATTTAAATGTCAAACTCGGACTGGTCCATGTACTCCAACAAAAATCGTTTGAAACAATATCTACCAATCGATGTTTTGTTAAAACAACGGATTACAATTGAAAGCAAGCAAAAAGGTAAATGATTTTGAACATTATTTGCGAAATCTTTGTTATGGTACAATTCAAGTACCACATCGGAAATACAAGGAAAGGAACCCTTGTATATCAGAGTCAACCTAGCCCAATTTGTACGAGGCCTTTTGGGGAGGATACCCAAGAGTAAAACCGTGCGGGCTTGGCCCAAAGTGGACAATATCGTACTAATTGAGCACCCCGATTTGACAAGTGGTATCAGAGTCTGGTTCGGCGGATCCGGGGCGGTGGACGTCAGTTTGGTGGGACCCTCATTGGTGGATCCAGGAGTGAACCACGTTTGGGCTTTGGTGGATCAAAGAGAGTTTCGCATTTGGGAAGCAGATCAAAGAGAGTTCTGCGCCTGGAAATATCCTTATAGCGAGAAGCCCATCGATACAAGGTGTTTGGAGGTAGGGGTGGGCGTTTGGTCAGTTCGGTTTGAACCGAACCGAACCAGGTTATGCCGAGTTTCCAAAGTCCCCAACGCCCCGACCGAATTCGAACCGAGTTGTAATTCGGTTCGACTGAACCGAATTACAACTCGATTCGGTTCGGAGGCTCATACCGAATTAACACATCTCCCCTGCTGCCCCCTTTTTGTCTGCTGCCTTTTTCTTTTTTTTTTGGTGAAAATTTGACATGGGCTGGCTGCTCACTGGTCACTGCTGCCAAGTTCTTCCAAATCCATTACATTCATACATTACATATTACATTCAAGCATATTCAACACAAACACATTACATTCATACATTGCATCAAGTTCTTCCAAATCCAAATATTCATTACAACACAAATGGTTCTAAGTTCAAACTAACAAAAGAAAGGTAACCAATGTCTAAATTCCAAGCATAACTTGTACAAACTCCAAAGGTCTTGCTTCTTGGCTCTTCCCTCTTGGACAATTGACACCTTTGAATTCGAAAATAGTACAATAAACACGAAACAGTGATGGTTAGTGATTAATAAGTTTAGAGCTAATCACAAGTAACCAAGTAGAATAAAATCATTAGTTCTTACCTTTGAAGTCATCAAGAATGCATTCAAATTTCAAACATCAGAAGTATCACTACAAGCACTACTAGATGCACTGCCATCGTTCCTCCTCCAACTCGCTACATTGGAAGTCGAGGTAGATGAAACTAGATTATCTCTTATAGAGATTGCATTCATCAACTTGTCCAATTCTATATGATTAAATAGACTCAAAATTAGTCATGACATAAAAATTAATCATGTTATAAATATGTAATGCTAAATTTGAAACTTCACCTTCATCTATTTTCTCAACTTCTTCTGGATCCTCCTCGATTGATGGTGGTGCAGAATCACCTCGAATCCAATCCGAGCTACAAATTAAAGCCTCTACTATCTTAGGAGTCAATGAACTTCTGAAATCATCTAGAATCCTCCCACCAGCGCTAAAGGCAGATTCAGATGCTACGGTAGAGATTGGAACCGCTAGAACATCCTTAGCCATCATGGAAAGGGCAGGAAACCTCAAGCTATTAACCTTCCACCAACCTAGTACATTAAATTTGAGCACCATTGGCTCGTCTTCCTCACGAAGGTATTTCTCAAGCTCGGATTTGTTTACCTCCCCTACAATTTGCTCTCTATGCTTTCTGTATTCAGCAAGTAGATCAAGCTCATCAGCATCACAATCCTCCACAATTGGGGCCAAAGAAGTAGAGGCATTCTTGCTTTGTTTTGACTTCCAAAGCTGTTCATAGTGAGCAAATAGATCAAATATAGCGGTCTTCACATCCCCCGCCATACGTGCTCCCTTGCCACCCTCAGGATACACCCTTTACAAAGCAAAGTCGACAAAACCCATCTTGTACCTCGTGGAGATGTAAAGTAGCTTGTTCATTTTATCCACATCTCCCCAATACTTCTCGTACTTCATCTTCATCTTGGTTGCCATGATACTCAAGTCGACATCTTTATCAACTTCCGTCTACCACTTGTTTATCAAATGATATAGGGAATGCACTTTGACACGCTAAAACACAACACCAAACAATGGCCAAGTGTAACCAATGAAAGGGACTGCAGTATAGTGGCACAAGTAATAAATATCGAATCCACGGGTCTCTAGAGTTACTATTACTCAGCTTCAGTTCATTATCTAGCAAACTAGATTAAGGATTGATTGATAAACTACTCTACTGACTACTCTACTAATTACAAGTTGGGAACTCACTTAGGTATGATTCCCCCTAGCTCCTCAATTAGGTCCAAGTTGCAATTACCTTTGGTTGATCTACTGTTGATTAAACTGCGGAAGATCCTAAATTAGCTTGGAATCTCTTAAGCTGACCAAGCCCTCTCAGACAGAATACCCGGCAGGCGACTAGCCTTCACCGGGATAGACTGCTAAGGCGATTCACACAGATCTCCACTACTGGAATGAATTCCAGTACAAAGCAGTGAATTGATTGACTCTCGCACAACCAATTCACTACTATCAATCAAGGAAGCCCTCTTAACCTAATCAGATTCTATCTATCATAGGTTAAAGCAGAAATCAAGAGAATTTGATCAAGATCCAATTGACTCAATAAATCATGCCTCAATCGATTATAATCAAACAATATAGCATCCAAAACTTCATACAAGAAAGATCCTAACACATGGAACTAGGGTTCCTCAAAACCTAAGTGAAGGGAAGTTACTCCATAGAGAAGAGAGAGACTGCAGAAATCTGATCTAGATCTTCAATCTCCATCTCCAAGAATGTTCCCAAGTCGCTCTCTCTCTCTAGGGTTCGTCCCTTGGGTGTTTGGGATCCAAAACCCAGCTCTCTCCTCTGTTTTGGCTGAAATCTGCTTAAAAACCAGGAATTCCCCGACTCGCACGGCCAGGGTGCACGGCCGTGCACATCACCATTCTGGCCGTGCACCTCAAAACGCGGCGTACCATTAAGTCGCACTTCAGCCATCTCGCACGGCCAGGATTGCACCTTGCACGGCCGTGCGGATTTCACTTGTGCCCGTGCGTGCCCACGCACAATCCCGCACGGCCAAACTGGTCACTTGCACGGCCGTGCGTGGCCACGCACAATCCCGCACGGCCAAACTGGTCACTTGCACGGCCGTGCGTGGCCACGCACAATCCCGTGCGTGCCCACGCACAATCCCGCACGGCCAAACTGGTCACTTGCACGGCTGTGCGGGTTGTGGGTGTGCCCGTGCAACTACCTCAGAACCTCGTCATGCGTCCGATCCTCGTCCAATCGACCCCAAACTCGCTCCCAAGCCTCCATTCACGTACTAGGACCTGAAATATCACAAACAAGCACAACCTAGCGTGAAATCGGCCTAAAACACGAGAATCAATACCTCAAACGGAGTAAGAACGGGGGTAAAAACATGTGTAAATAACGAGTCATCACACTTCCTGTAAGAACAAGTTAGAAGTGGTATATTTTGAGCCCGAGATCTTCAAGGTGAAGTCGTAGAACCGACCAAGAAACCCCATCATCCTCCTTGCATTCTCCCAATCATCCTTCTCCGGGACCCCAATTATGCCATGCCTATCCTTCCTGCTTTCGAAATCCTTTCGATAATGGTCATCATACATGTCAAACATCTTGAACACCTTTTCAAACCTCTCAGCAGCCTGCAACATCAAGAATGTGGAGTTCCATCTAGTAGGAACATCAAGACACAAG